CAATAGGGGGCAGCACAGGATATGACATGGGTGGTTCAGGTCTATGATTCAGATCTCCAGGCTGATTCCCAGTATAATCTTCAGAATAGTCATCAGAAGAGTCAGACTCATCCCCACCGCAGTCAATGGAGAGCCCACTTGTCTGGGTGCCTTGTGGCCTAAGGTCACACACAGACTGGTGCGAGCCAGGAGGGGGCTGCAGTGAGCAAGGGATAGCTGCATGTGCACTATAGGGAACATGGTGTGCAGACAATGAACTCTGTAGTTCCTTTACAATGGGCATTCCCGGTTCCAAACTAGCTGTAGCACCTGAAAGGAGGGGAGGTGAGCGTGATTTGGAATCATCTTTATCCACCAGTGATTGTACAGTTTTCCCCAGGTGGAAAATCAAGTTCTTAATTTCATCAATCTGTACCTTTAAGTTGTCTATCTCAGTCTTGTTTCCATGTGCTGAATCCATTTCCAGAGGTCCTGGAAGAGGAATACTTTGAGGCCTCGAATGAGATTTAGTACTAGGTGGAGTGATACTTGCTAGTGATGTCACATAATCCTTCAGATATATGGGGGGGTTTTCGGAACGGACGGGTCTTCATGATGAAGATGGAAGCTGCTCCTTGTCCATTAAATTGAAGAAAATCCGGCTCGAAGGACCATGAAAAATATAGATTTACTGTAGATGTGGTGTATCCTTAACTGTACTAGTTCCAGGTAATGGCTTCAACGTAATAAACAGAGCAACAGAGTCCAGTTCAAATATTTATTGTGGGAATTGTCTTGGTCATAGAGTGGGAGGAGGCAAGGAGGGGAATTGTAGTTAGTTGGTGGAATATGGTAAGATATGGAGGTGGAGAGGGCAGAACAAGTGGAGGGTGGAGAAACTGGTCATTCTACAAAGGAGAAATAAGAGCGTCAGATAATCTTCTGAGAAAGTAAAAACACAAAGTAGCAGATCAAAACTCACAGGCATTTACGCAGTTCTCCACAGGAAAAGGGATTCTCCAAATTCAGCTCAGGAGTGTCAAGACAGAGCAGGTGCCATGAGACTGTAATTATAGACTTGGGGGCGGAGCCAGGTGCCGCCCAGAGGTGGGCCCAAGACAGGCAAAAAATGAGGGGAGGAAAGGGATTTTTCACAATGTTTTTTTAATTGAATTCATAGGCTTAGAATTTAACTTGTAAGTGTCCGTGAGAGAGGAGTGCTCTCCACGTAAATATGCCATCTTGAAAAACGGTGGTGGATAAGGGACAAAAAGGATGCGAGAATCGCGTTTTCATTTCACATGAGCTACTGATATTGTTGCTTTCACAGTGTTTTCAAAGTTATATAAAAGAACCATGGAGGACCACAGTTATATAAAAGAACCATGGAGGACCACAGTTATGTAAAAGAACCACGGAGGACCACAGTTATATAAAAGAACCATGGAGGACCACAGTTATATAAAAGAACCATGGAGGACCACAGTTATATAAAAGAACCATGGAGGACCACAGTTATATAAAAGAACCATGGAGGACCACAGTTATATAAAAGAACCATGGAGGACCACAGTTATATAAAAGAACCATGGAGGACCACAGTTATATAAAAGAACAATCCGAACAACAATCTTTTAGAAAAATAATTATGCAGAAGTCCATCGTCACAGCAGCAAACTGTCAACATCGCAAACCACACACAAAAAGACAGAGTTAACACAACAGGAGGCACATTGTGTAGTTTGTACACAACAAAACAACAATACTTAACTTTTTTCACACTGACAATAATGAGAACGAGGCAGAATCTACCACACAGTCTCAGGATGTTCTGACCCGATCCGAGCGCAGTCCAAAGTAACTACTATCACAAGTTTCAACTAAACTTATTCAAGGAAAAATACTCAAATAAATTACACACAGAATCCCCACAAAACAATCACAGAATACTTTATCAGCAGCGTGAGTGAATGTTCTGTTTCTTACCGTATGCAGATAGGGCGCTGTGGCTAACGCTAATGCTAACATGAGCTTTTAGCCATGCCCTGACGCAGCTGTGTATGTTACAATATGGTATATTGTTTATACTGCATATATGTTATACGCCACGAGGGGGCAGTCACGCGAGCCTTTAACCGGAGTTTGTACTACAATGACTGTACACTTTAATGGGGCACTTCAATAAATGCCGACCCAGTTGGGCCAGAGCAAAGAAGCTGGACTTGTTTTATTGTTACAAACCCACACTTTAACATGGTGGCAGCGGTAATGAACTTTGCCCGGATTTTTTGAGACGTTTTTGGAAATTGCTGCGGAGTCACTAGAGAAGACGGTGAAGTACTAATCGTCGAACATTGATTAGCATTGCAAGACAAGCTAATAGAATGGACGGACTAAAAGCTCCACAGACGCTGTGTCTGGACTCTAATAACCTGTCTAAAACATGGAAGACATGGAGGGACGAGTTTCAACTTTATGTTGATTTAACTGTTGCCAAAGATGACGAAAAAAGGCGAGTGAAGCTCTTCAGTTATCTAGTCGGAGAAAGTGGCAAGGAGCTGCTGGATACGTTCATGGGAGACACAGTGGAGGCTGACTGGATTGTGAAGGACATGATCGATAAGTTTGATCAACATTGCAGCCCAACGGTGAATGAAACTGTTGAGAGGTATAAATTCTTCACTAGAAATCAAGGCTCCAGTGAATCCATTGATGGCTATATTACGGAGCTCAAACTACTCACCAAAACGTGTAATTTTTTCACTTTGAGAGACTCCCTCATTCGGGACAGAGTCGTGTGTGGTATTAACAGCGCCAACATGCGAGAGAGACTTTTGAGGGAAAGAGCCCTGACTTTAGACAGTGGCATCCAGCTCTGCAGAGCACCGGCGTTGTCGCGGGAAAACTGCAGAGCCATAGCGGGTCCCACCGCTGAGGACGTCCACGTTGTGCAAGGAGCTTCGCGCCACCAGTGGAAGCCGGACAACGACAACACGGTGGAGTGCAATGAGGACATTCTGTGTGTTAGAGAAGTGACACTGGGTGAAAATAAGAATACAACAGACTCTGACAAAGAAAAAGACACTAAACTGTTTGCAGGTATGCTCTTAGGCAAAGATATTGTAAGATTTCAGATTGATTGTGGAGCCACATGTAATGTGTTACCTGTTAACCTGTTGAACAGTGATACAAAACTGGATGTGACGAACACTATGTTAATGATGTATAATGGTAGCAAGGTGAAGCCACAGGGTAAATGTAAAGTGAAACTGAGAAATCCCAGAAACCAAACACTGTACCAGTTAGAGTTTCAAGTTGTAAACACAGAATGCACATTGCCATTGATTGGTAAACGAGCTAGTGAGGCTATGAAACTAATTAAGGTGCACTATGAAAACATATTGGCTATTGACAGTATTGTGACTGCAGAGAAAAACACAAGCGAGCAATGGTCAATGGAACAGATTAAAAAGGACTTTAAAGATGTGTTCACAGGAGACGGCTGTCTCGAAGGAGAATACAAAATGGAAGTGGACACAAGTGTGAAACCAGTGCAACTTCCAAAGAGACGCGTTCCAGTGACGATGATGAAGCCACTAAAGGAGGAGCTGCAGGATCTTGAGCGTAGAGGTATTATCACACCAGTCGACTGTAGCACCGATTGGATCAGCAGCATGGTGGTAGTACAAAAACAAAACGGGAAACCTAGAGTGTGCATTGATCCAAAACCCTTAAACAAGGTGCTCAAGCGTAGTCACTTCCCATTAGCAACAATAGAGGATGTACTCCCGGACATGTCCCAAGCTAAAGTGTTCACAGTATGTGATGTTAAAAGTGGATTTTGGCATGTGAAGCTCGCAGAGGAGTCAAGCTATCTCACTACTTTCTCTACTCCATTTGGGCACTACAGATGGCTCAAAAAGCCCATGGGGGTAAGTGTAGCACCCGAGATTTTCCAAAGGAAACTGACCCGAGCACTGGATGGACTCCCTGGTATCTACATCGTAGCGGATGACGTGGTCATCACAGGGCAAGGTGCGAGCCAGGAGGCCGCTGTCCGAGATCACAACACTAAGTTAAGGCAGTTTTTGGAACGATGCAAAGACAAGAACATTAAGCTGAACCCTGAAAAATTCAAACTGAGACAAAGAGAGTGCACATACATAGGGCACCGTCTCACAGCAAATGGTCTAAAAGTTGACCCAGACAAGGTCCGAGCCATTGAACAAATGCCAAGGCCCACAGATGTGAAAGCAGTTCAGAGACTATTAGGAATGGTAAATTATTTAGCAAAGTTTTGCCCGCACCTTTCAGATCAGTGTGAAGTGGTAAGGCAGTTAACACACAAAGACGCAGACTGGGACTGGACAGAGCGACATGAGTGTGTTTTCGGAAAACTAAAAAAAACTATTACCAATGCTCCTGTTCTCAAATACTACTGTCCGGAGGAGGACCTAGAAGTGCAATGTGATGCATCAGACACTAGTTTGGGGGCAGCACTCCTCCAGAAAGGCAAACCAATCGCTTTTGCTAGCAGAGCTCTCACACAGACAGAGCGTGGATATGCT